AAAAAAAAAAAAAAAAAAAAAGTGCTATGTGGAAGAAAGCAAGTTGTGGAACATGTACATCATATACACATATCCGTGTGTGTGTAGTCACACACAGGCACACACACGTATGCACAAAAACACAAACACAGAAACAAATTCTAGAAGGATCTGCCTCAAACTATTAACAGCAGTTATTTCTGGAGTAGCAGGATTATGGGATACTTTTAAACTTTCTACATTATAAATTACTATTTTCTGCATTGTGTCAGCATTTAACAACTATGCACTGCTTTTGTAATCTAAAAGAAAATAATGGCAATATTCCCACTAAAAAAAATTCTTATGAAGAATTTATCTAACTCTGGAAAATGCTTATAAAGATTATAAAACCAAATATAAATTATAAATATAATGTAATTTACTATGTAAAAACATGCAATAAAAAACAGGCTATCAGGAAACAGACTAAACTACTGAGATGTGGGTAACTTACTTTTTTCCTTCTTTGTGAAATTTTCTACAATGAGAATTCCTTTTATAATCACTAGCAATAAGCAATTTAAAAATTTCTACCTTGAACAAAGTGACAGCTTTGTCACCCAAAGAACACTAGGAACAGACAATACCTTTAAACAGATGTCCCTCAGCTGTGCTCGGACTTCAGCTACCAGTATCACATTCTTGCTGTTGACAAAATTCTCTTTGCACCAATCCTGAATAGGAGAAAGGGTGATAGCACAACCCATTAATTCAGTATTTATTTGTTTATAGAGATAGCATCTTGCTCTGTTACCTAGGCTGGAGTGCAGTGATACAATTATAGCTCATTGCAAACCAATCTTCCCACCTCGGCCTCCCAAACAACTTGAATTATCTGCACGCACAACCATGCCCAGCTAACAATCCTCTCATTTCTATAGAGAAAACATAATGACATTTTTAGAACACAGTTGAATTCAGAGGAAAAACTTCAGAGGCCAAAAAGGAATGCAGGAAAATATTTTTATATCAAAAACCATGAATTATAAGGAAAAGTATTAATTTAAACTAAAGAAAAACTTAAAGTTTCCCAGATTGGGATATTTGTATCATCATATCCAATGAAAGATTAGAATCTCCAGAATAGATTTTTTTTTTTTTTTTTTTTTAGAGACAGGGTTTCACCATGTTGGCCAGGCTGGTCTCGAACTCCTGACCTCAGGTGATTCACCCGCCTCGGCCTCCCAAAGTGCTAGGATTACAGGTGTGAGCCACCACGCCCTGTGAGAATAGATCTTAAAAGTTCTACAAGTCATTAAGAAAAAGATCAACAACCCAGTAGAGAAATAGACAAAGGATATGAACAGACACAGAAAAGGAAATATAAATGCCCAATCGATTTATGTTAAGGCTTTTTTTCCCCTCCCCCCCCCCTTCCTTCCTTCTTTTTTTTTTTTTTTGAGATGGAGATTCACTCTTGTTGCCCAGGCTGGAATGCAATGGAATGCACGATCTCAGCTCACCTCCGCCTCCCAGGTTCAAGTGATTCTCCTGCCTCAGCCTCGAAAGTAGCTGGGATTACAGGCATGCGACACCACGCCTGGCTAATTTTTGTATTTTTAGTAGAGATGGGGTTTCTCCATGTTGCTCAGGCTGGTCTTGAACTTCCGACCTCAGGTGATCCACCCGCCTTGGACTCCCATAGTGTTGGGATTACAGGCGTGAGCCATTATGCCCATAAGCATCTTTTTCTTTTTTTGGAGACAGAGTCTCACTCTGTCACCTAGGCTGGAGTGCTGCAGTGGCAAGGTCTTGGCTCATTGCAACCTCTGCCTCCCAGGTTCAAATGATTCTTGTGCCTCAGCCTCCTGAGTAGCTAGAATTACAGGTGTGTACAACCATGCCTGGCTAATTTTTGTATTTTTAGTAGACATGGGGTTTTGCCATGTTGGCCACGCTGGTCTGGAACTCCTGGGCTCACGTGATCCACCTGCCTTGGCCTCCCAAAGTGCTGGGATTACAAGCTTGAGAAACTGCCTGGCCCTGGGCAAGTTTTTCAACTACACAAAGCTTCATTTCCATGACTATGTTTCATGAATATAAAAACTAGTAACAGTGCTCATTTCTTAGGATTACCATACTGAATGAGATCACACATTAAAAAGTGTTTCTCATAGGGCTTGGCATAGAATAAGCACTCATTAATTGGTATGCACTCTCATTATTAGTCATATTTACTTTATTAAGTTCCAATTAAGTTTTGATGGGTTGGGAGTCACTTAAGTCTTGCTGAATTAAACACATTCAGCACAAAGACCGGAATGACACATCTTCCTTGGTAATTGCCCAGTATTCAGATATTTCTAAAATGATGTCTGGCTTTCATTTTGTGACTCTTTAGATAATTCAGCCAAAAAGGGAAAATGTAGTATGTGTATGCCTTTAGTACAAAAAGGGAATCACATACCAGAGAAGAAGGGAAAGCAGCTGTCACTGGAGAAAAGGAACAAGACAAGGCTCACCTTATTTCCACCTATGCTTTTAAAGGTCCGATAGATATTGAGCAGAGTAATGTGATCCCCTTCACTGGATGTGAACTTCTTCCGGACCCCTTGTACTTCATCCCGCCGGGAAGGAGGGTTGTGGAGGATGCTGTCCACAGACAGCAGGGAGACAATGGTCAGGATCTCCTCTGTACAGTGGAATTTGGGGGACATAAGGATGGTCTGCAAACCAAAATTTAAAATTGTGTAAACTTTCTCCCAGCTTTATAATACACTATTTCTGCATATTGCTTTTGCAGGTTCCTTTCTAAGGAGTTAAAGGGCAGGTATTTCTGAAACCATGGCTATGTACATTAGTGTTATTTTACTCTTTAATATTAAATAAAACAGATGACTGCCTTCCCTACGGAGTTCCAAATATTTTTCTTTCTTTTTTTTTTTTGAGAGAGTCTTGCTCTGTCACCCAACCTCGAGTGCAGTGGCATGGTCTTGGCTCACTGCAACCACCACCTCCCCGGTTCAAGTGATTCTCCTGCCTCAGCCTCCTGAGTAGCTGTGATTACAGATGTGTGCTACTGCTCCCGGCTAAATTTTTTGTAATTTTTAGTAGAGATGGGGTTTCACCATCTTGGCCAGGCTGGTCTTGAACTCCTGACCTCATGATCCACCCGCCTCAGCCACCCAAAGAGCTGGGATTACAGGCATGAGCCACCGTGCCTGGCCCAGAGTTCCAAATTTCTTATGGGTAGGACACTTGACTTGGTGTCTCTGAATCCCACACTGAACATAAATCAGGGCTATATGCAAACTACGGGGTAATTATTTAAGAGAAAAAGTGAGATTAATCTAGAAGCACTGGGTTAACGGTTCTACTTTGGGATGGCTAACCTGTAATGTACAGAAAGGGGACTGAGGAGAGGGTATCATTTACTTTGGCAAATTTGGGTTCTAAAGGAAATGCTGCCATCTTTCTTCCAATTGGAGTCAGGGTAAGCTGGTCATCCTTATGTTCAAGAGCACCTAACAGGTCCAGTTGGGCAATGGCCGCCTGAATGTGATCTAAAGAAACGGAGACATAAAAAGGAGCCGAAAATCCAGAAAGGATAAAGTTGCAGCTAGTTCAGTATTTCTGGGAGTTTTTGATAACTCTATATCAAACAATAGCAAAACTCACAACCACCACTACCCGCCTGACGCATGTGTTACAGAATGACATCACTGTCTTCAGTTCAATTCCCTTTTCTTTTTTGAGACAGAATCTTGCTCTGTGGCCCAGGCTGAAGAACAAATGGGGTGATCTTGGCTCATTGCAGCCCCCACCTCCCAGGTTCCAGAGATTCTCTTGCCTCAGTCTCCTGTGTAGCTGGGACCACTGGTGCACACTACCATGCCCAGGTAATTTTTGTATTTTTAGTAGAAACGGGGTTTCACCATGTTGGCCGGGCTGGTCTTGAACTCCGGACCTCAGGTTATCTGCCTGCCTCAGTCTTCCAAAGTGTTAGGATTACAGGCGTAAGCCATCATGCCCTTTTTAAGTGACTTGTAATTTGGCAATATGTATGTAGAGTTTGAATATACACATCCATTGACCCAGCAATGTTACACTTATGAATTTCACCTGCAGATTTACTCATACACTGCACAGAGACCATATTGCCAGAACCAAACACAAAACAATGGAAATACCAGTTGTGTCAGAGGCCAGCTGGGAAGCTGGGAGACAAGAGGGTGAGAAGGACATTATTACTATTTACTATTTTATATTTTTTAAACTTTGGACCTTGTAAATATATTATCTATTAGAGAATAAAAAAGCATTTTTAAAGATGTAGTAAATATATACATCCCAATAAGGAATGATCTGTAAAATGTATTAAGTGAAAAAAAGCAAGGTGCTTTTCACTGTTTTTTTAAAGCAATTTTATCAATAGGAGGATGGATAAATGCATTTTCATTTATTCACAGAATGGAAGAGCAGTTAGTGTGAAAAAGCATCAACACAAACAAACTGTACAGAACATACTGAGCGAAAACAACTTACTAAGGAATAAATAACAGAAACTTACAAACTGAAACCAAGGGTGGTTTAGGGATACATATGCATACAGTGAAACAATAAAGAAAAGCAAGGCAACTACAAACAAGATGTGGGGGAGTGGTTGCCCCAAGGGAGTGAAAGGAGGTGAGGGCAGCCAGGGAGGGGTCCTTGGGGCTTCAACTGGGTACAGAGGTGTTGGATTTTAATCATTCCTTACAGCTATGCATCTTATTCCTTTGTTTGTCAGGATTTAGCCATGAAAAAAAAAATCATGCACTGAACAGTGCTCAATGTGTGTTGCTATTTGTGTTTTAAAACATACTACATGCTGAACATGGTGGCTCACGAGTATAATCCCAGCACTTGGGAGGCCAAGGCGGGAGGACCACCTGAAGTCAGGAGTTCAAGACCAGCCTGGCCAACATGGTGAAACCCTGTCTCTATTAAAAAATACAAAAATTAGCCGGGCATGGTGGTGCACACCTGTAGTCCCAGCTACTTGGGAGGCTGAGGCAGGAGAATCACTTGAATCCAGTAGGTGGAGATTGCAGCGAGCTGAGATGGCACCACTGCACTCCAGCCTGGGTCTCAAAAAAAAAACCCAGAAAAACAAAACAAAAACATACTACAGGGGTGGCATGGTGGTTCACACCTGTAGTCCCAGCTACTCGGGAAGCCGATGTGGGAGAATCATCTGAGTCCAGGAGGTTGAGGCTGCAGTGAGCTGAGAATGCGCCATTGCACTCCAGCCTGGAAAACCAGAGTGAAACCCTGTCTCGAAAATCAATAAATTAAACCACTACATATACTCACATATGCATACATTTGCTCTAGAAGTCTACTAGAAAATGGTTCCAGTGGTTGTTCAAGGGGAAGAAAACTATGAACCTGAGGATCAGGGCAGGACCCTTGTATACCCATCAATGGGTTACTTTGTGTTTTTCCTTTCTCCCCACCTCCCCTCCCCCTCCCCTTTCCCTTCCTTCCTTCCCTTTCCCTTCCCTTCCTTCCTTCTTCCCTCCCTGCCCTTCCCCCTCTCCCCCCAATTTCCCCTTCCTCTTTCCCTTCCCTTCCTCCCTGTTTTTATTTTTGTCACCCAGGCTGAAGTGCAGTGGTGCGATCTTGGCTCACTGCAACCTCTGCCTCCCAGATTCAAGCAATTCTCCTGCTTCAGCCTCCTGAGTAGCTGGGACTACAGGCCCCCACCACCGTGCCTGGCTAATTTTTGTATTTTTGTAGAGATGAGGTTTCATCTTGGGGTTCAAACATGGGGTTTCATGTTGGCCAGGCTGGTCTTGAACTCCTGACCTCAGGAGTTCCTGCTTTGGGAGGCTGATGTGGGTGGATCACCTCAGCCTTCCAAAGTGCTGGGATTATAGATAGGTGTCAGCCACTGCGCCTAGCCTCTTTTTTCTTTTTAAACCAATTGCATTTCTTAAGAAAAGGGTGGGGTGGGAGGAAAAGGAAAATGGTACATTGATGAGAGGTCAGGTGCCAAAGCTACTCTCATAAAGAATTCCAATTATTTTCTTCCTCTGTAGAGAAATTACTAATGAACAGAAGAGACTGATCAAATTCCAGTAAAAAGCAAAGAAATGTGATCTTTGCAGTCCCTGTGCTGATAAAAGTACAATTTTATTAAATTTCTGCAGTACCCCAAGGACTCGCATGATGATCTTCACTTGTTCCAGAGGTCAAGGAACCTTATGGATGGTGCTGATAGTGCAGAATCTATCATTTCACAGCTAGAAGCACTGACACATGCCTGTGGCCCCAGCTACTTGGGAGGCTGAGGTGGGAGGATCGCTGGAGCCCAGGAGTTGGAAGCTGTAGTGCACTATGATGGAACCTGTGAATAGACACTGTACTCCCACCTGGGCCACACAGCGAGACTCTGTCTCTTTAAAGTCAATCAACTTATCTATCTATGATTTCATGATTTTAAGATGCTTCTCTAATAGTTAATGTTGTTATTCACAAAATTAAATAAACAAAAGGGGATGACCAAAATATTTTACTTTTTTGGACGTGTCCATTTGTTGTTTTTCTCCTCACCCACCTTCTGCAAAGCTGGATTTCACTTACCTGGAGATGGCTTGGACATGAAGTCAAAGGTGAGCACATTTGGGACTTTCATTGCTAGAAGCTGAAGCATGACACTGGCCAGGTTACACCTGTGAAGAGCATGAGACCAGGGTCATTACCTGATCCCTCTACCAGTGAGTCAGAACCACTCAGCAGGGAGTGTGAGTAAAAGCTGCAGCTCTGGGCAAGCAGGAGAGACATGGGGACAAGCAGCAGCAGTGCAGGAGCGACTGGTGCCTACCTCTGGATCTCTGGCACAGTCATCTTATCAAACTTCTCAAACTCCTCCTCCGTGTAGAGCCGGTAACAGATGCCACTGTCCTCTCGGCCAGCCCTCCCTGTGCGCTGCCAAGCCTGGGTCTTCGATACCCGCTGCACTGCTAATACCTCAAGACCACTGTCTGGATGGAGAGGGAGCCCCATTAGTGCTTTATCACATGAACAAACTCTTTCTACAGTGTTGAAAAAAAGCAGCACACCCGTGGTTCTTTCAGCAACACAGGGGTCCAGAAAATCTCAACACTAGCACATTGGATAGCGCAAAACCAGGTTGCTCTCCAGTGGTTTGGCCCTAGTGAAATAAGGCTCTGCAAAAAACCCAGTGTGAAATCTGTTCCAAACACATCAGAAAAACCTCATGCATGCAGCAAGGGGCCAGAAGTGTAGTTTCCAAGGTCTTGGCTTAGATGGCAGGATGGCCAACGCCTCCAGTTTGCTTGGGACAGAGGGTTTCCTGGGATGTGGGATTTTGGGTGCTAAAACTGGGACAGATCCAACAAACTAGGATGGTGGTCATAGGTCATACTATCAATCAGTGACTCCGAAATTAAATGTCTCAAATCACTTGTGTGCTTTATCCGCTCTCCCAGTTCTGTTTTAAGACAGAAATACTGTGATGTCTGTTTTCCAGCAGTAAATGAGATTCATTTCCTTGATAAAGGTGTATTCTGTGCCAGGTAATGGAGACTTAAGCTCTTTCACCTATGTCATCTCAAAAAGACACACGAGTGGAAGTCAGGACCCTCAAATGTTTACTAGAGCATTTCAGTTCAATAACTGGGAACAACAAATGCAGTGGCCTCAAATCCTCTGTGGAATTAAGCAAAGTATAAAACAGATACAAGTAAAGATGACCTTAAGTTAGCTTCTCACTGCACCTTCTCAGGAGAAGCCAGTGCTTCACCTTCCATGCCTCACCCCAGCCGGGGGGTCTGATTCCTTCCTGGGAAACCTGGGAGCTCAAACCAGCCATATATATACTTTCTGATGAGAGCCTGTGATTGACACCCAGCTGTCCCTGGCCTTAGAGCAACTCCTGATGGGGTACTGGACCCTCTGCCCAGGTCCCTGACCCTGTCTTCCCACATTAGCTAAACCTGGGCTCTTTTCTGCCTCTACTTCCTGTCTCACATACCCGCCTCAGGACTCCTTTGTGGACTCAGACTGTAGATTATCTCACCCGTGGTGCCTGCCACCCAAATCTGTTTGTCACAAACATGAAACACTCACTCAGAGGAACACTGTGGGACTACAGTTTCAGTGGTTGCTCACTAGACATAGGAGAGACATTCATGAACTACAAATTCTCACCAGGGTTATACTTCTTTGCTTTAACCATGCCCGTGTCAACTACATATTTTATTCCTGTAATGGTTATGGAGGTTTCAGCGATGTTGGTTGAAATGATCACTTTGCGATAGCCCTAAAAGGAGGAAGAAAACCAAAAAGCCGTATGACACACAGATGATTCAGAAGTGTTCAAACATATTCTCACCATTAACTTCCACAATTCACTCATGACCAAGTAAAGATGACTCCATTATTAATGGCAGTCATTAATATCAATGGTTGGTCATTAAACTGGGCGGGGGAAGGGGATGTTGCAGTCTTAAAGGTAAATATGAGGCAATGAGATGTAGTGGAACAAGCATGGGAATCAGAAGCAAGTAGATGTGGGCTGGAATCGTGGCCCTGCCAGTGACTTACTATGTGGCCCCTTGAGCAACTGTTACTTCCCCTCTTGGGGCCTTGGGATCCCCATGGGATCATAACCTGCCTTGCTGGTTCCCACAAGGATGAGAGACAGTGGATATAAATGCTAGCATAGTGCCTGGCATGGCGAAGGCACACAATAAATGGCACTATGGACAAATGCAATTTATGCTGGTCCTCAGAAGTCACTCATTTACCTTCCAGCTTTCATTATACTCTCCCTCATCCCAATAACTGTCCCCCTGCTCCTGTCACAGGAGCGCTGTATCTGTCTCTGTGCATTGTACCCCTGTGCCTTCTCAATGAGCTGATCTGGTACCTGGGCATCCCATCCCATATACCTCATCTGGAGCCTGGCAATAGGTACACAAACCTCACTGGTGGATCCGTCTGGGTGCCCAGAATGGGGCTGGACAGAAGAGGTGGTGCACTCACCTTTGGGGCCCCTTGGAAGACTCGGAGCTGCTGTGCATAGGGCAGGGAGGCATACAGAGGAAGGACCAGCATCGCAGGGCAGCCGTCTGGGAGGTGCTTTGCAATGTCGCGGCAGGTTTTGCTCATGGCTTCGATCTCCTCCTGACCAGTGAGGAACACCAGGATGTCCTGTGAAGAAGGGGCTTCCTATAAAAAAGGTAGAGTGGGATTACTAGGCATTGATAGAATTGCAGCTTGCATAGAAAAAGACAATCGTGATTGATGATGTTTCCCAGAGTTCTTTTTCTTAACTATGAAAATGTAAATGAGCCTAAAAGTTGATGTTTCCCTTGGAGAAAACCCTTACCAGCAGTGCATAAAACGATTAACAGGCTGGGTGTGATGGCTCATGCCTGTAAACCCAGCACTTTGGGAGGCCAAGGCAGGAGGATCGTTTGCGGCCAGGAGTTTGTGACCAGCCTGGGAAACACAGCAAGATCCCATCTCTAAAAGACATTTTTTTTTTAAATTGGCCAGGGGTGGTGGCACGTGCCTAGAGTTTCAGCTGCTTGCCACTGCACTCCAGCCAGGATGACAGAACGAGACCCTGTCTCAAAAACACAAAAACCCAAACTATAAAATACAAGAGTTAGCCAGCTATGTTTAAAAGCCAAGTGATGAAATTATGAAGAAAAATCAACAGATTGTTTTTTCTAACAAGAGCAATACCATGAAAAGCATAATCAGGGAAGCAAATAAAATCTGCATGAAGCTTCCTTACTTTTATAAGCATCTTGAAGATGAAGTTGACAAAACAGAAGGCAACTTGGGGAAATCCTAATCCATGGAAATGAACAGATGCAGTCATGCTGGAAAAGGAGCCTTTAATGAATGATGCCATCAACAGCACTTTCACACATCCAAAAAAATACACTATACTGGGACAACTGCTTGAGATACTGAGGTTAACGGGGTTCCTCACTTTCTTTCTTTTTTTTTTCTTTTTGAGACAGTCTCACACTGTTGTGCAGGCTGGAGTGCAGTGGTGCGATCTCAGCTCACTGCAACCTCCCCATCTAGGTTCAAGCAGTTCTCCTGCCTCAGCCTTCCAAGTAGCTGGGATTACAGGCGCCCACCACCATGCCCAGCTAATTTTTTTGTATTTTTTTTAGTAGAGACAGGGTTTCACTATTGGCCAGGATGGTCTCAAACTCCTGACTTCTGGATCTGCCTGCCTCGGCCTTCCAAAGTGCTGGGATTACAGGCATCAGCCACCGTGACCAATCAGGGTTCCTCTTTCAAAGGTAAAAACACCCAAATGTGAATGACATACCTAATGCCCTGATTTTTCTTTGATTTCTGATCATATATATTAATTTGTTTGAAATAAAGTGCTTGACACTTTGGAAGGCCAAGGTGGGTGGATAACCTGAGGTCAGGAGTACAAGACTAGCTTGACCAACATGGTGAAACCCTGTCTCTATTAAAAATACAAAAATTAGATGGGCGTGGAGGTGGGCGCCTGTAATCTCAGCTATTTGGGAGTCTGAGGCAGAAGAATCGCTTGAACCTAGGAGGTGGAGGTTGCAGTAGGTCCAGATGGTGCCACTGCACTCTAGCCTGGGCAACAGAGCAAGACTTTGTCACAAAATAAAACAAAATAAATGAAATGAAATAAAATAAAATAGGGCCAGGCACAGTGGCTCATGCCTGTAATCTCAGCACTTTGGGAGGCTGAGGCGGGTGGATCATGAGGTCAGGAGATCGATACCATCCTGGCTAACACAGTGAAACCCCATCTCTACTACAAATACAAAAAATTAGCTGGGTGTGGTGGTGCTTGCCTAGTCTCAGAAACTCAGGAGGCTGAGGCAGGAGAACTGCTTGAACCCAGGAGGCGGAGGTTGCAGTGAGCCGAGACTGTACCACTGCACTCCAGCCTGGGCGACAGAGCAAGACTGTTTCAAAAAAATAATAATAAACTGGGAAGCCATGGGGTACAGTAATGGGCTTCACCACAGGAAAATGGTGACAAAGGGAAGAGTCAACATGACAACTGCGCAAAGGCCTAGGAGAGCCACATGTCCCAAATGGAAAAGTAGCATAAAATAGAACTATTCATGACTGGCATATGAGAGATGTTGGAACATTTGGGAAAAAGTTAGCCAGAGCTACCTAGAAACAACTATGTTGTTCAAGAAACAAGGTTTAGGGATGGTGTGCTGCTAGCAATGTGTGGTCATAATATTGTTAATATTGATACTAGGCTTAGAAAACATCATAACAGGCCAGACACAGGGGTGCAAGCATGCAGTCCTAGCTATTCCCAAAGCTGAGGCGGGAGGACTGATTGAGCCTAGGAGTTCACGGCCAGCCTGGGCAACATAGCAAGATCCTGTCTTAAAAAGAAAAACCTAAACAACACCATGACAGAACTGTCACGAGGTTGGAGATAAAGCGGGTAGGGGAGGGGCATTCGAAACTCTTATCACCATGCTAAGAAATTAGCATATGATGCCTGATACCCATAACTCAAGAAACAGTGGTAAAAGCAAGGTAGCTTAGAATTATGAAAGCAATATCTAGAGATTGAAAGTAGGTTCCCTAAACAGCAGAAACCTGGGATGTTGAAGTAAAAACAACTGCTATTCTTTTATTATGAGCCTTTTACTATAAACTACTTGACTTTTTAAAATTTTAAGCCCCATATGCATCACTTATTTATTTTTTGGGGGATGGAGTTTCGCTCTTGTCGCCCAGGCTAGAGTGCAGTGGCCCAATCTTGGCTCATTGCAACCTCCACCTCCCGGGTTCAAGCAATTCTCCTGTCTCAGCCTCCTGAGTAGCTGGGATTGCAGGCACCCACCATCACGCCCAGCTAATTTTTGTATTTTTTAGTGGAGATGGGGTTTCACCTGGTCCTGAACTCCTGACCTCAAGCAATTCACCCAGCTCAACCTCCCAAAGTGCTGAGATTACAGGCCTAAGCCACTGCGCCCGACCTGCATCACTTATTTTAAAATAAAAAATGACTGGGCATGGTTTCTCACATCTGTAATCCCAGTGCTTTGGAAGGCTGAGTCGGGAAATTCAGCTGAGACCAGGAGTTTGAGACCAGCTTGGGAAACATACCAATATCCTGTCTCTATAAAACATAAAAAAAAATTAGCATGGTGTAGTGGTGTGTGCCTATAGTTCCAGATACTCAGGAGGCAAAGGCAGTAGGACTGCTTGAGTCCCAGGGGATCGGGGCTGTAGTGAGCTATGATTATGCCGCTGTTCTCCGGCCTGGGTGACACAATGAGACCCTGCCTCTAAATAAGTAAATTAATTAATTAAATAAAAAATAATTTTAAAAGTTTGCTTCTGGATTTTCTCAGAAAGTTAACAACATTAAATTTTATACAAATTAAACAAAAGTGAATTAATGATTCAAATTTTTGAAGTAAATGTTTAATAAAATAAGAAAATAGTTATAAATATTCTCCTGATATAGTTTTAAAAAAACCCAAAACTCTAAGTTACAACCTATTATTGGGCTAATGTCAACTTTTTCTTGTTTTCTTTTACTGAGATGGGATCTTGCTCTGTCTCCCAGGCTGGAGTGGAGTGATCATAGTTCACTGCAGCCTTAAATCTTCCAGGCTGAAGTGATCCTCCTACCTCAGCCTCCCAACTAGGTGGGACTACAGGTGTGCATCACCACACCTGGCTGACTTTTTTTTATTTTCAGTAGAGACAAGGTCTTGTTATGTTGCCCACGGTGGTCTCAAACTCCTAAACTCAAGTAATTCTACCCATCTCTGCTTCCCAATGTGCTAGGATTACAAGTATGAGCCACTGTGCCTGGACAGCTTTTTCTTTAAGTGGGGCACAAAATATCAGAGTACCCCACATGTAGAAAAAGAGGCAGTGTTTCTTCTTCAAATACATTTTTAATTTTTTTATAGAGACAGGGTTGTGCTATGTTGTCATACTGGTTTTGAACTCCTGGAGTCAAGTGATCTTCCTGCCTTGGCCTCCTAAAGCATTGGGATTACAGGTGTGAGCCACCACGCCTGGCCAGAAGCAGTATTTCATAGACTTATTTCAGTTATAGGTATAGCATACTGGGTTGTAAAATAAAAAGTACTTCTTAATGGGGGTTATAATCAAGACAAGTTGGTAAGCTACTGCTCTAACATATGGAAATTTTCTGGCTCAGTGTAAGAAGTTGCTGGTCAGAGCTGAATTATTTTTCTTTTCAGAGAATATTAGAGATATCATAAATAAAGGATAAAAACTCAGACATGGCAAATGAACTCCTTATCCATCGTTTTCTTTTTTTTTTTTTGAGACAGAGTCTCCCTCTGTCACCCAAACTGGAGTGCAATGGCGCGATCTCCGCTCACTGCAACCTCCGCCTCTCAGGTTCAAGCAATTCTGCCATGTCAGCATCCCGAGTAGCTGGGATTACAGGCACCTGCCATCACGCCCGGCTAATTTCTGTATTTTTTTGTAGAGATGGGGTTTCATCATGTTGGCCAGGCTGGTCTTGAACTCCTAACCTCAGGTGATCTACCCGCCTTGGCCTCCCAAAGTGCTGGGATTACAGGCGTGAGCCAACGCGCCTAGCCTCCTTATTCATCTTAATGACACAACTCACAAAGTTGTTTTATTCAGTAGCTTTTCTTTTCAAGGCTCATTGTTCTCACTACCAATTGCAAGATAAAAGAGAGCTTTTCAGGAATTTGCACCCCATACCATACCTGGTGGATCTGGAAGACTGAGACAAGCGCGGCGTGCAGGTAATCATTCTGAGGCTGTTTGGTGTAAAACACCTGGATTGGATGCTGCCGACCCTCTAGGTAGAGGACGGGGGCGCCATTGAAATATTGAGAGAACAGGTCCACATCCATTGTAGCTGACATCACAATCACCTGCATTAGAGAATGAAGAGGAGGACCAGAAACAAACATTGGGACAGCCTTTCCGTGTCCCTCTCCAGCCCCAAAAGCAGATGATTGAGGCCTGCGCCACCCCATCATAGTTAACTTTCTTCCAAGGCTCTGAGCAGGACAGAGGAAAATACCCTGCCAAAGCACACAGGTCTGTTACCTTTTTTTGGGGGGATGAAGTTTCACTCTTGTCACCTAGCCTGGAGTGCTGTGGCACAATCTCGGCTCACTGCAACCTCCGCCTCCTGGGTTTAAGTGATTTTCCTGCCTCAGCCTCCCAAGTAGCTAGAACTACAGGCATGTACCACCACACCTGGCTAATTTTTTGTGTTTTTAGTAGAGACAGGGTTTCACCATGTTGGCCAGGCTGGTCTAGAACTCCTGACTTCAGGTGATCCACCTGCCTCGGCCTCCCAAAGTGCTGAGACTACAGGCGTGAGCCACTGCGCCCAGCCAGGCCTATGTCCTGTGTGTGATGCATACTTTCAGAGGCAGTTTCCCCAGTTCCTTTCTCCTCTTCTGTGCAGCTTTCACCACGCCAAAGAGCACATCTGTGTGGATAGTCCGTTCGTGAGCTTCATCCAGAACGACACAGCTGTACTTCCGAAGCAAGGAGTCCGAAATTGCTTCCCGCAGAAGCATGCCATCTGTTAGAAACTTGATTCTAGTGTCTTCTGAGGTGACATCATCAAAGCGCACTGTATAGCCAACCTGTGGGAAGAAACAACTTATTCAGTCATCAAACATTTCTTGAGCGCCCACTGTATCCAGAGTAAGTTGGGTACTCGCACTACCACAGTGAACAAGACCAACACCAACCCCTTCCTACTCCCTAGGGAGGCATGCAATCTAGCTGGGGAGAGAGACGATGGTCAAGTTTCCTTTAACTGCAATTATGATAAGTATTACAAAGAATATTTAAAATCAACCTTCAAATTCAAGCTATTTAACAGTTTCGTGTGAAGTTATGTACAGATATGAAAAGATTTCTGAGATATTTTTAAGTGAAATGAGTATATGCACACACACACACACAAACACACACAAATAAATCTGTCTTAGAAAAAAAAAAGAAAAACAAAAACGAAATTAAAAAAAGAAAAAAAAAGAAACACAAAAAACCAAATCTGTCTTATATACAGTTCTGAGACTCATTCTCAATTCTCACATACACACTAGCATAATGCTCACAATTTTTCTAAAGACAGATAAGCGATTTAACAGAGTTACTGAAGGCTTAAAGATGTTCAAGGAAAACAACTAATTTGTCCAACTTGACAACAGATTTTGAAAGCAAAGCACATGGAACGTAAAGAACCCTGAAACAGGCCTAGACAATTGGAAGAACAGGCAAGAAAGGAAGTCTTGTTTGGAAAAGTAAGAGGCAGCGGGCGTGGTGGGAGAGCTGTTTAGTTAAGAAGTACTAATAGTAAAGAAGGAAACCAGGTACCAGCTTCCCGAGTTCAGTTCTCTTCTCATCTGAGACTCTAGTAGCAAGAGAGATGGCAGCCACTCGCCGAGGCTGGGTCACAGCAATGATGCCCTGGCGGCTGATCCCGCCTTCATAGAGGTACTGAGGGATCTGAGTTGTCTTCCCAGAGCCAGTTTCTCCTAGGAGAGAGGGAAAAGAAGTCTCACTGAAATGCAAATTGGGGCTGGGCAGCAGGGCTGGCACCTACAATCTCAGCACTTTGGGAGGCTGAGGCAGGAGGATGTCTTGAGCCCAGGAGTTCAAGACCAGCCTAGGCAACATAGCAAAACCCTGTCTCAGCAACAAGAGCAACAACAATTAGCCAGGTGTGGTTGCATGTACCCGCAGTCTCAGCTACTAGGGAGGCTGAGGCTGAAGGATCATGAGGCCCCAGGAGTTCAAGGTTACAGGAAGCTATGATTGCACCACTGCATGCCAACCTGGGACATAGTGTGAGATTTTGTCTCAAAAAAAAAAAAAAAAAAATGCAAATTGGCTGGGCACAGTGGCTCATGCCTATAATCCTAGCACATGAGGAGGCCAAGGTAGGAGGATCACTTGAGCCCAGGAGTTGCTCCTGGGCAACACAGTGAGATGCTGTCTCTACAAAATATACAAAAATTAGTTGGTCATGGTGGTACACGCCTGTGGTCCCAGCTACTCTGAAGGCTGAGGTGAGCGTATTGCTTGAGCCTGGGAGGTCGAGGCTGCAGTGAGCCACCATCACGCCACTACACTCCAGCATGGGCAACAGAATGAGACCCTGTCTGAGAAAAACAACAACAAAAAGTAAATTGACATAAATTTCACCAGACACACAGCTCAAAGTCAGAAGTAAAAGAGAAAAAACTCTGAGTTGGTAAAGCCTCAGGAGAATGGGCACTCAGGTATGTACACTGCTGGCGGAGTTAATTGGTTAACTAGTATTGTTTCTCGGGAGGCCAAATTATGTTTTTTAAATCTTTAAAATGTTTATATCCTTTGACTAACAATTCTATTTGCAGAAATTGATTCTAAGAAAATAAAGATATAGCTTCAAAGAGGTTTTATTCCATTTTGCTCCTAGCAGAAAAAAAAAATTAGAAACAATAGAAATGTTCAACAAGTAATTTGCATAGTTAAAATATAAACTAAAATACAACTCTTACATAGATGTCTGCATCCTGAGTGACATGAAGAGACATCCATTCATGCACCGCTGCCTTAAACTCCTGGCCACCCCCCAGGCTGCTGCCTTTCTTCAAACCCTCTGCCTCTGCCCACACTGAGCAGAACACCTGCCCTCACACTGCCTGCCTGGCAAACTCTAAGATGAGTCAGGCCTCCAACACGCTCCCCTGGCAGCATGGGTGACCCTCCTCTGGGCTCCGTGGTGGCTTCTTCATCTCTCTTCCAGCAGTGACCATCCTACATTGCACAAAAGTGTTTAAATGTGTGCGTCCCCCTCCTATACCAGAAGCTCCTGGAGGGCAGTGCTCTGAATGTCCCTGGCGTGTACTTTAGTATTTTGCATACAATAAGCACCCAGTAAATGTTATTTCCTACCCTGTGAGTTCCTTTAACAGAGCCTGATTAGAGCACTGTAAACGAGCGCATCCTTCTCCTCCCTCTAGCTACCACCACAGCTCTCTGACCTCAGAGTCCTCCAGTCCCATTATTTATGGTTTATTTCCTGTCGGTTTCTCAGCCCCCTCTGACTGTTTTTCATTCCTGACCCAGACAAGAATCAGACTAAGAATCTGATTATTCTGCAATCTTCTTGCTGAATCCACCAGGCAAAACCCCAAACTTGGATCAAGGTCTCCCTGTCCATCTTTCCTGCTCCTATACCAGGGCAACTGAGTGTTACCAAAGTAAAACACAAAATGCTTGGAACCAAAAGTGTTTTGAACTTTGGAGGGTTCTTTCAAATTTTGGAATATCTGCATTATACTTACTGGTTGAGCATTTTAAGTGTGAAAATCTGAAGTCCTAAATGCTCCCAAATCTGAAACTTTTTGAGCACTCGACATGATGCTCAAAGGAAATGTTCCTTGGATCCCATTCTGGATTTCGGATTTTCAGATTTGGGGTGTTCAACCTATAATCTGGCTGTGCAGAGGCAAACCTGAGCTTATAGTGTAGCCAGGATGTACCTAGGCGCCAATACCAACATCCATCTTTTTTCTTGTTTTTGCAGCCTGTCTTGTCTTTATCCTTACCAAGGGCCCACTTGAAGCCCAGTGACTCCCATTCTGAGCAGAGCTCCTGAATGTGTCTCACAGAAGGGAAGTTCTAAAATGTGATCTCTCTCTACTTGCCCCTTCAAGCCCTTCTGCAGTTGCACCATCCTTACGTACCTTCTCTAGCCCTGCAGCCTCTTAGCCCTCCTCTTCCAGACCCGCCCTACATCTAGCCCTGGTTGCCAAGGTCCCCCCGCCCCATACCTCCTGATCTTTGCTCTGTTAGCTTGATTCTATCTTCAGCCTCCCTCCCTACTGAGTTCTTCACCTCAACCTCTGAATACAGACGGTCCCTGACTTAGAACTTTTCGACTTCAAGACGGAGTGAAAGTCAAAACTGTAAAAACTGTAGTTTTGAGTACTCACACAACTGTTTGTCATTTTCAATATGGTTTTCAATAAATTACATGAAATATTCAAGACTTTATTATAAAATAGGCTTCATGTTAGATGATATCACCCAACCATAGGCTAATGTACATGTTCCGAGCACACTGAAGGTAGGCTGAGCATATTAAATGCATTTCCAACTTAGGATATTTTCAACTTACGAGGATGGATGGGTTCATCCACACATAACTCCATCCTAAATCAAGCAGCATCTGTAGTTAAAGTTCCTCTCAGCTTCCCTCCTTTTTCTCAAAACAGAAGCCTGCTCCCCCTGCTTTCATCCTTCAGCTCAATGACAAATCGGCTCTTACCCACATGGCTTTGTTGATATAGCTCTAGATGGGATCCACAATCAACAGTGCCAGAGATTGCCTGTGAAAGTCATGAAATTTTTATTTATGCAAGAAATGTTTTACAATTTAAAAGTGATTAGGCCTCCTGAATGCTTTATAAATGTCACTGTAACTCAACTGTATAACTTGCCTGCTTTGTAGTTAGGTAAAACCTAGGCCACATGGAGTTAAATGCTGGAATGAGCCAGACCTTATCTGCACTTCTGTCTAGGTCCTAGGCTCTGCACCCAGTACATAATTAAAATCCCAAACTTACCAAGGTTTTCAACAAAGGTAAAGGTTGCTAGACGTTAACAGCGTAACATGTATTTAAACTACGGAAGGAACAGTTTATGTGCAAGGTGTGTAAGGAAAGTAAAATATACTCTTGGTAAAAAGATTATAAGGTGGCATAAGAATGTGAATTTTTACCTACATTAAAAGGCTGAAGAATTGTTTTGAAGGCTTAAGCAAGTTTTGGAAGGTTAATTGTAAAAGAAATTCTGTGTGCAAACACATTAGCTAAAGCTACAGGGGTATCATCCAGTTTTTCTGTAAATTGAGCATTAAAATAAAAGCACAATGGGTTTCTCTTAAAGCACTAACCTGCTCTTAACAAAAATTATAACGGGTTAAACAAAGGTCTATAAAAATCTTACCTTAGAAAACCAAACACCTGGCTGGGTGCGGTGGCTCACGCCTATAATCCCAGCACTTTGGGAAGCCGAGGCGGGCAGATCATGAGGTCAAGAGATGGAGACCATTCTGGCCAACACGGTGAAACCCCATCTCTACTAAAAATACAAAAGTTAGCTGGGTGTGGTGGTACATGCCTGTAGTCCCAGCTACTTGGGAGGCCGAGGCAGGAGAGTTGCTTGAACCCGGGAGGGGGAGGCTGCAGTGGGCAGAGATCTCAACACTGCACTCCAGCCTGCTGACAGAGCAAGACTCTGTCTCAAACAAACAAACAAACAAAA